GTATATATATAATGTCTCGTAATAAGAAGTAAATATTTAAAGAGGTAATGGAAGATCTCAAGAGCTATAAGTTTACACAATCAATGGATATTCAGCAGCAAATTAGGAAATGATAACTAAAAAAACTATTTAATTTAAATAATAAAAAATACTTCACAGTAAACTAGATATCAAATCACGTCATTATTTTTACACAACTTGAGATTAATCTCAACTTATTTCATAGTTAACCCTAAACGTAATGAATATGGCATTAAAGCTTATTAAACAAGAAAGTTTTTCTAAAAGTGGGATATTGAGAAAGTGAAAAAAAAAAGTCGGGAATAATTAATGATTTTTCAAAAAAAACAAAACTTAGCTTGGTTCAGCCACTCAAAAGGAAAAGGCCTAATTAATTGGTTTAATCAATGAAAAATACTACTTTCAATTGAAGTAAATTTTGTATAGTTTAGTGTAAAGTAATTGTTAAATACTTAAATGAAATATTTTTTATTTATCGTTTCCTATTCATCGACAAAAGTTGCATCCATAAAAAAAATCATATCATTTACATAAACTTTTTTTGTAGCCCGTGAAGTATGTTATGACTCCTTTAAATATTTCGGGGCACCCTGTCTATATAATGGCTTGCCTCCTTAGCCCAATCTTTCATAACTCGAATATATAATAAAGACGAAAAAAAAATTTTAAAAATAGCACACCTCATATCCAATAATGTACTACTAACGTACCAATGAAAAAAGTAAGTAAACAGTTAAAATATATTGTATATAAACGAATTATTATATATTTAACTGGAATATTACAATCAATAAATTAGTTAATAAGCATGTAATGAACTATAAATTAATTTATACTACAAAAAATATGATGAAAAAGTAAACTAGTTATAATAAATACAATTATAGTAGAGAAGGATGGTTGGGGTGATCAGTCAAAATAAAATAGTAAAAATAAATAATTGTATTTATTTTCTCAAAATAAAAAAAATACAAGAATCATGTGAAAATAAATACAATAATTTATTTTTACTATTTTATTATGACTGATCACCCCAACCATCATTCTCTTCAATTATTCACGACAGTCAACGATCAACTTACAATTAAATTTAGATTTTAAAACATTTTGTTCATTTAACGATATACCTTACATTCCCAAGCTGGTATAATTTTAATTTTGAAGATATAATGAGATTGAAAGGTACAGCAAGGCTGAGGCTCCGTTATTGCAGTAAACATTTGGAATTCATTTCATTATTTCATCAACAATCAACACGCCTTCTACATCAAAGGAAGCGGTGTTTTAGTTTAAAACGCTACATAACAAGTAATTCGTGAATACTTCCGTCATTTTCCCCTGTTTGCAAGGTAACATTGTTTATCTTCCCAATATAAATATAAACCAAGATTAAATACTAGATGATTAGAAATAGATAATGACATCGGAGGGGAATTCTTATGAAATATGTATGTGCATAGAGGAAGGTAAGAATATCTTAAGCAAAGACAGAACACATAGGAAAAATGTAATTGAGGCTTTTCCAAAAAAAAATATTGTCAAGAACTGGGTAGTTGTATGAAACATAAAACACGTGTACATATGAGCTGGGGAAGAATTAAAATAATAAATGACTTATAGAAGATGAGAGTGCTCATTTTATATTTTAAAAAATGTTCATGTTTAGTAGAACTTGTAACTGAAAAACAACTTTTATTATTAAAAAGTTTCGGTATTGACGAGTTTTTCATTTCTTTTGGAACTCGAACATTTTCCCTTGTGAATTTTCCAGTACAAGTTCCAATAAATTTCATTTTTAAAAACTTTTGTTTAAAATTTATGTCGATTTCGCTCAAAAAGCGATTTCGACACTCAAACAAACGACACATAAGAATCATATGCAATTAATTTAAGACAGCTGACTGTAATCAAAGCCAAATTATTGATTATTACCCATTCAACGGAACTTTTTTTAAAAACGCAAATGAATAAAAGTTAAAAATTTACTTTAAATCTAGAACTTTAATAAAAAAAAAAATTCCTCAGCAATTATATTTTAAGAATTTTAACCTAAAAAGTTTCGATTTCTAATATTTAGTCTAAAACTCCACCGTCATTCATTAGGGGCCCAGTAAACTGGGACCTTTTCCGCCAAATAATCTCCGATAATATTGATCTCAACATATCCCTCAAAACTCCCGATGACCTTGATAGTGCCGTAAATTCCTTTACTACCACAATCCAACAAGCCGCCTGGACTGCCTCCTTCCCAAAAGACTCCTCCAGAATTCCTATAAAGACCATTCTACCCCAACACATCCTTAACCTAATCCGCACCAAACGCCGTGCCAGATTATTATGGCAACGTACCCGACATCCTACCGACCGCTGCTCCTATAATTACTACTGCAAACAATTAAAACTGGAATTAGCCACCTTCAGATCACAATCCTTCAACTCCTACCTATCCTCCCTCTCTTCTCGCGACAATTCCCTTTGGAAAACCACAACAAAAATCCTAAATCCTCACCGCATTTCCCATCCTCTCCGACGAGGTGATGGCTCCTGGGCAGCATCTGACGAAGATAAAGCTGAGGAGTTCGCCATTCACCTATCCAATACATTTATTTCACATCCGGAATCCCATCCTGCCCACACCGTAACAGTAGAAGAACTCCTTACATCACCAATCCCACTTTCCTTGCCCCCAAAAGCTATTCATCCTTCCGAAGTAAAATTTCAATTAAAAAAACTAATCCTCCGTAAAGCTCCTGGACATGATCTCCTTACACCTCAAATCCTTCGACAACTTCCATCCAAAGCAGTCATATTCCTTACATATATCTACAATTGTATCCTACGCACCACCCACTTCCCTCTGTTATGGAAACACTCCACTATTATCCTCTTCCCAAAACCAGGAAAACCTCTCAATAGCTCAACATCCTATAGACCAATCAGCCTACTCCCAATCCTTTCAAAAATTTTTGAAAAGATCCTTTTGAAACGAATCCTACCCATTATAGAATCCCAAAATATTCCTTCCCATCAGTTTGGTTTTCGCTCCCAACATTCTACTGTTCAACAAGGACTCCGAGTTGTTGATCATATTTCCTCAGCCCTAGAAAACAAGGAATACTGTTCGGGTGCATTTCTGGACATTGCACAGGCATTTGACCGGGTATGGCACTCCGGACTGCTCTTCAAGCTTAAAATCCATTTACCTCAGTCCTTGTACCTAGTCCTCCGATCCTACCTCTCTGACCGCTCCTTCCGAGTTCGCTGTGGAACAGAATTTTCCAATATCTACTCCGTTAAAGCCGGTGTTCCCCAAGGCAGCGTCTTGGGTCCCGTGCTTTACATCCTCTTTACTGCTGACATCCCTGTTCATCCCGATACTTTTCTTGCAACATTCGCTGACGACACCGCAATCTTATCATCCAACTCTGATCCCAACATAGCATCCTTAAATCTCCAAAACCACCTCACCTTGATTGAGCACTGGTGTAATAACTGGCGCATTAAAGTTAATGAATCTAAATGCCAACATATTATCTTTACACTCCGACGCAGTTCCTGTCCACCAGTACACTTTAATTCCATCCAGCTTCCTTACTCAGACACAGTCCGGTATCTTGGCTTTCATTTAGACCGAAGACTAACGTGGAACCCACATACTAGACTCAAAAGACAAGAACTCAACCGACGATACGGCCAGCTATACAGACTACTAAACAGAAAATCCAAACTTTCTATTGAAAACAAATTACTTATCTACAAGACAATACTGAAACCTATATGGACATACGGACTTGAACTGTGGGGGACAGCAAAAGCTTCTAACATCAAACGTATTCAATCCTTTCAATCTAAAGTCCTTCGAACAATAGTTGATGCTCCGTTCTATGTAAATAACAAAATCCTACACCATGACCTTAATATCCCATTTGTCCTAGACCTTATTCCAGAAAAATTCTCCAAATTTCACCAGAACCTTACCTATCATCCAAATCCCCTTGCACAATCTCTATCCAGCACCACCCATCCTTACAATCCTCCTCGAAGGTTGAAGCGGCAGTGGCCCAGAGACCTTTTGTAAATAAGCATCTATTGGAGTTTTGGCAATGGCCAGATCCTCCACTCAAGCCCGAGTGTGTATGATTAGGTTAGTTCTTTTGTTTATATACATTTATTTTATTTTATTGTATTTATTTTTATTTTATTTTTTTGTATTTATTATTATTATTAAGTTTCTGTATTATTTATTTTTTTTTTATTGTAAATAGAGTGTGAGTGTGCTTTCTCTGATCACTATTATAAATGTCCTTGATGTGACAGAATGTAATATTTCTAAATAAACAAATATAAATATAAGTCTAAAACTTATAACACTGCGGCATAGAGATGTGGTGGGGAATGGGGGTTTGGCTTAGTCCATTGTATCGTGACATATACGGCTACAAACAAGATTCTTTTAAAATGTCTTACAGCGTTACTTTAAAAACATGCATTTATAAAAGCCAAAAAATACATTTTAAACTAAACATTAAAGTGACCATAGGATGAGCCAAAAATCAGAAATATATTTCTCAGGTGGAAGTATTGAAGCAAGAAACACCATTCTAAGCTACAATGTATAAGATATAAACATATATAGATATACACGGCAATAGTCGATGACGTAGCTCCTTCCCCACCACTTTTCTCTAACGCTGATTATTTTAGTAAACAACCACCAGAATATTAGGAAAATTTTCTCCTTAACTGAAGCCCAATCCTGAACTTATCTTATTCCTACTCTTCACTTGACGACCCACATAAATGGAATGTAACCATTTTATAAAGAATGAGTCAATTTTGTATTTAAACATTTTTTATTTTAAGCAAAAGCTCTCTGGTTCAAAGCGCCTCTAAAGTGTGGCAAACAGGGTCTAATGCTAAATCCACAATATTGAGATCTAAATTAATATTAAAAATATTGATAATTATGTTATACTTACATGTGAAGTGTTCTTCAGCAACTATTACGATTTATTCCCTCCAGAACACCCACCTAGAAAAAAGAAATCCAAGAATTCATTAGAAAAATACTTGCATTTTACTTTTATAATAATAAAAGGCTTATATAATAATAATAATAAAAGGCTTAGCGAACCCGAAGGTTCGATGCCGACACCACCAATCGCTTATTACACACCTCCCTCCACCGTTCGCTGTCCAAAATCAGTCCCTTCAGATCGGCCTTAACGCAATCCTCCCACCTTCGCTTCGGTCCATCCCTTCGAATTTTACCATTCGGTACAGCAAATATTAAACTTTTAGAAAATCTTTCTTTATTAAGTCCAACAATTTAGAAGCCCATTTAATTCGCTACGACGTAATCACCTCAATCATATTAACCACATATTAAACTGCATATTAAACAAAAAACAAAACAAAAAGCGTGACCGCACAAAATTGGATTCAACACATTTTCCGTTCAGAATTGGTCCACACAGCAAATGGACATTTTTGTTGAATATTGTATTTTGAATGGTCTTCTTTGTTGGTTTGGCTATTAAGAAGGTTATTATATATATATATATATATATATATATATATATATATATATATATATATATATATATATATATATATATCTTGGGTCTTTGTTTTCGAATTTTCTACATTTAGTTTTTCTGTACTATTATTGATTCCATTCTTTCTATACATTCGGGTTTTTGTTCTTCCACTAGGCCTCATGAGGTATTTATTGTTTAGAACTAATGGATTGCTCTAAGCTTCATGCCCTGCCCATCTTAATCTTCTTGCCTTCATAGCATGATCATATTTGAACTATAATAACCTTTCGTTGCCTACTGTTATTATATTGTATATACATACTATACATATATTATATGTTATTATTATATTATTATACATATATACACTCAATTCGGTGTTGTCTCACCGTCTAAACTCTCCAATTAACTCATCCTTCTCAGATCCGAATATTCTCCGTAAATCTTTATTTTGAAAAACCATAATGTAAACGGCAACGTTTTGCATCCTTTAAGAACCTTAGGTAGGATAATGGCTTTATAGATTTTAGTTTTTAAGTAGTTCTAGTTTTTAATTTTATGTAAAACATTTTTTTTTTAATTTTTGACATAATAAAATATCAGCTAAGTTTTAATAAGCATTCAAGTAATTAATTAACTCTTCTATGGAAATAATGTTACCGACTTAATTTATAAACATTTCAACACAGATTCTTTCATAATATAAAAACTATCTCTTAAGATTGATAATAAACCCTAAAATATATTTATATAAACAATATACTTAAGAATCGTCGGATTAAAAAAAAATAGTTGAAATCCTACAAGCGAAAAATGAGAGAAATTGACATTAAAAAATATGAAAATATTATATATATATATATATATATATATATTATAAGTTAGAAGGTTATTATATCAAATTTCAGTATTTATATAGATTTGCAAATGTATTGTAACTAATATTTAAGAATTAGGGGTAAAAAGTTTTAACTTTGTGTTGCATAAGCTCGGCTTCGAATTACCAACTATAACCGATAGAACTACAGAAAATTCCAAATACTGTAGTTAATGGACTTCTTAATATTAACCAATAAGTAACAGTGATTGAAAGTAATAATTCCATAAGCTCTGAGTGTTTAAATTAAATTATTATACAAAAAATTTATCAAGTAAGACTAATGTTCCGTTGACGAAGACAGGGAAGGGATTTTTTTATGTAAATTAATAGTACTATTTTATTTTCAAAAAACACTGGATCAGCACCAATTACATACAATAAGGAAAGGCCTAGCAAATGGATTGCCTTCGTTGAAGCATTTTTTTATTTTTTATGTCATAAGTTCATAAATATTATATAAATTATTAACCATGAAATGTAATATATATTATATTTCTTGCCTAATAATCTATAAATGGAGTGACAGCTCAAATATACTGTCACCATTGTATATGATCTTTACTTAGTTTCCGATAAAAAAGACAAAAAAACAAAAAAAAAACAGGGAGAAACAAAGTTGATAATCGAGAAAATTTTAATTAAGAAGTTATGAATACGTTAGTTATCAGCCGGATCCTCCAAAAAAATCAAGTAAATGATTTTTTAGTTATATATAAAAAAAATTAGTATCAATAATAAAAAAAAAAAAAAACTTTAAGTTAAATCAAGTACTAAAATTGGAAATTTATGATTTATATAAAAATCCGTATTTAAGAGTTTTAAAGGACACTAAAAACTAATTTAATTTGATATTTTCATAATATAAATTTACTTTGCTTATTATATGTGAAGTGCCTTTTGGTTTTTGTCATTTATGATGCATTATAACTCATTTAATACGAGAATCAATATTTTTTTCTCATTCTGCACAAAAAATAAAATCGATTGATAATAACCTAAAAGTTTGGGAACAGCAAAGGCAAAAATAAATAACATGAATTTTGTTTCAAATTTTTTTTTGTAATTGGATTACTTGCTAATCGATAAATATTACAATCTCTCTCAATTAAGGACACTTTTAATAGAATTCAGAGAGAATATTCACGGAATCAAAAAATAAATAAGGTAATTACAAAATTATATACAGCGAAATAAGAAAAAAAGATGGGTGGAGAAAATAATAATAGTAGTAATAATAAAATAAAATAGAATTAAAATGTTGTTAAAAAATACAATTTTATTTTGGCTCGTAGGGCGTGTTGAAACGAATATGCTGCTACATTTGAAAAATGTACAATCTAGGGTCTTCTTACAAATAACTTCAGATTAAATTAATATCCAGGTGCTGATTTGCAAGTCAAGAATTAATGAATCTTAGTTGTAATCTGACCTACTTCAAGACTAAAGTACTCATACACTAAACGAAAAATCAGTGACTAGTTTCCTTTTAAAATTTAGTAATTAACTAATTCAAGATTAGTTTTATAAATTAATTAAGTATTCAGAGATCTGTTTGCTCCGAAGCTGCAAAATTGCTCTCGTTCAATCAGTCTCGAACTAAACATAATCACACACGTACTAAAACGACACTTAGTTTTCGATAAATTTCTATTATTAATATGACTTAGAAGTAGATTTCTAAAATTCAAAGAGCCCCCCCGTTCAATGTCACAGTCACAAGGTCTTCTGCCACATATGTAACCTTTAGCTATCCCCAATCCTTAAAATGCCCTCGGGCAGTGGAAGGAATTTATTACATGTTTATATTGTATTATTGTATACTATATATGTAATTGTTTCAATAAACTTTTTGGAGGGTAAGAAAAAAAAATCAAAGAGCCCTCCTGAAAAACCATAGTTATTTCATTTTTTCTGAATTACAATAAGTATCAACGGTACACGAAGTCATTATGCAAGGCTTATTAATATGTGCACCTTTAAACATTTTCAATTATTTTATACACTTGAGATAATTTGTAAAATATCTTCGGACAGACAGACACCTGATGATGGTTTTTCGTTTTAAGAACCACCCCTGGCGCAAGAACAATGATGAGGTCCTACCGAGGGACTTTCATCACATACCACAGATGAAAAATACCTGACTTTTACTTTTCTCTCTGGTGGGGGAAGGTTACATAAAACCATTGCTGCCAACCTACGACCCGTTCTCCGACCAATAAATATTTATCGGAGATACAGTGCCTGCTTTATCAATAGATAAAATAGAAAACGAACCCACAAGGACCAGACCCTCCTAAAATATATCATGTTGCAGAGGACGACTTTTAATAAATAATCCTATTATGCTCCTAGCTTTCGCTCTTATGAAATAAACCAAGAAAATTAATAGTGTTCCTCAAATAAATCCTAAAAAGAAATAGAAACAAACTCTAGCATTATACTCCAAGCGATCAAGGATCAAAATAAAAATGTAGGTGCTAACATTAGACCAAGTTGAGAACAAGGACCAACAGCAATCGGTTTGGAATGTTGAATATTGATCAATAATCTAGAAACGGAATCAGAACTGTTTATGAAGTCAGTTCAAAGAAGTCCACCGAGGAAGGTGACTTATCAAAACGAAGAAAAAAATGAAGTAGAGTTTATGAAATTTAAACCGAATTCTAAGTAATATAAAAACTATGTTCGTTGAGTAATTTGCATATAGCATGCAACAACTAGTAGGGAAGACTGGATACGGTCGTGACAATTTTCATTAATTCCTCCTCAATTTGGTTAGTACACCAATTAGATAGAAGAAAGGTATTTTTTATATTAGAGTGTACACTTTATATAATATAAATACTAACATTTTATTGGTCAGTACAATGATTATCTAAAGAAGCATATTAGAAAAAAAAAATTATAAAAAAATATCATAAACGACCCCACTCCAAAGGCGATTATGACAGTGATAGGTTCAAAAATACACCAAAAATGGTTCAAAAATAGAAAATCACTTTTATTCTATTATATAACATTATAGAACGATTTAATCACTTTAACTAATAAGGCATAAACATTTGCGTAAGAATTAACTTTCGATCTTCCTGGAACGTTTTCAGGATATCTAAAGGCAAAAAATAAAAAAAAAAATGTTTACTTATGATACAACTTTACCCAGAAAATATGTTACAATCGTACCTAACACAATCCTTCACAAAAAAAAAAAAAAAAAAAAATTGCCACGACAATATAAAATTGTTTAACAACTTATAAAATTTAACCAATGTTTAACATATAATGAGGTAAACCATTCATTACTCTATCTGTACATATATAACAACAATTATTCAAAGAAATAGAATAAAAATAGTAAATTTTGTCTGTTAAATAGTAATGAAGGTCTCTACTACCATTACCATCGCGCGATGCGTAAGCAACACTGTTAAATACGTTCAGACAGGCACGACAATCCTTTCTTCTCTATAAACCTACCGGCTATTCCTTATAGTTTCTCTAATATGATGACTGTACCAATCGTACCCTGACAAAACAGTTCCAAATCTCCCATACTCAACAAATATACGATGGCTGATATAGGCGATAAGATGAGAGAGACATTAACTT